TGTTTTACGCAAAAACCACCACTTATATGTAAAAATAAATAAATTGGGGTTAATATTCAAGTAATAGAAGCGAAACACTTCACATATAAGCTCGTGAATTTTGTCGGCTTTGGTGGATAGTGTTCAGAAAAAATAAAATTTCTTAACATGGCCTTATTTGGGACAGGTACCTTAGTGCATTATAAAAATAATAAGAAAATAATTAAAAACTAACATAAATGAAAAGTTTCAATGCATAGTTCGTTTTATTTTGAATAAGGTAAAAAACTCTTGTTGCGAAAGTTGGGTGATTTCACTGATTTCTTTGAGTTATCACGCAAAATGTTTTTTCAACTTTGGATGCCTTTGGAGAGCAAGCAAAGGATAACATCTTGGCACTCGCCTTTTTCTACGATTGTGTGGGTTGAAAATAACAATTTTAGAACCGCTCCGTCACTTTCTGTTCAAAAATAAATTTTCATCCAGAGTTCTAAAACTTCTTCAAAAATGTTCAAATTTGACGTTTTCGTACACATCATGATCCGCAGATACCAAAAATGCGAAAAAATTTTTGGGATGCCATTCAAAATCACGGAGTTAGGACCATTTCCGGTCAAACTGGAAGTTACCAAACATTGACACACATGTCAAAATATGACATTTCTCAAACCTACACTCTATACCAAAAATCTTTGCCATCGAAAAAAAAACCAGCAAATGCCAGCGCGAAACTGATCTCGTAGACACCCGGTATATAGATTTGGAATCAGAAGAAAAAAAACTATCATTCTAGCCAAAAATATACAGGGTGTTCTATTTAAAAAAATGCAAGTGTTATCATTATGACAGTTAGCTCCTGTCATTTGTCCATTTTGATATGTGCAAAACATAAAAGAGATAAAACCCTACAACTTTTGTATTAAACTTTTTTTTGTATTTTCTTTTGTTTAAGTTGTAGGAGCCACACTAATTATGAGGAATAGACCCTGTACCTCAGGGTAGTGTGCTAGGCTCCTACTCATATTTATTATTTACTTGGGACATCCCAAAACCAGAAAATTGTCATTTAGCAACATTCGCCGACGATACTGGTTTAATTACTATGGAAAAAAGTATTGAACAATCAACAGAAAAACTGCAGAACGCTCTGCCACTGAAGTTCAAAATTGGATCAAAAAATGGCAAACAAAATTAAATGAAACCAAATCAATTCATGTTGATTTTACAAAGACAAACCCAAAAACTGTAACAGAGACTATAAGAAAGTACGCAAAAATCCATGAAGATAGACTACATCGGCATGTGAATGTGGGAGCTTTTCCAAATTTATATTTTGTTCCAGCTCCTGCAGCATATATTGGCAAAATTCCAATCTTCTCCCCTTTGTAAATTTAAAAGGTCAACATTTATATTGTTTTCACGTATTTTGTATTTTCCCGTATTTCATAATTGAAATTTTACTATCAGTGGAAATGAAATCCGTGGGATTTTCGAAAAATAAATTATAGTTTAGCTATATTGTTGTGAATTTCTTTGAAAGAAAAATTAAGATATTAATTTAAAATTTTACTTTGGAAATGTAATACTTAAGACATTAAGCTCTTTATTTTTATTCGCGGGACAATTAGCCTTGTTTCTCTGTAAAGTTTTTGAGTTTCTTGGTTGAATAAATACACAGTAAACTAGAATTTTCTGAAGAATCCAAATATGTAATAATATACAGGGTGTTTCATTTAAAAAAAGTATCATATTGTTCTGACATTTCCTAATGGAACACCCTGTTTACCCTAAGCCAACCAACATATTCTGGCACTTTTTAATAACACCTAAGAGAATATCAAATTTAAATAATGTTCCAAAAAAGTCACATGAAATAGTTACCTATTGGCAAATGTATAGCAATATCATATCAATTTTCCCTTTTGTTTCTAGTAAGTATACCTAATTTATGTTACTATAAATTATGAATTGCCTATTTTTACTGAAAAAAAAAGTAGGACATCTTTTTATCTGTAATCATTGTTTGCCAAGTTTGAAAATAAGCCGCTGCTATTATAGGCCTGAGATCTGATATTGTTCACCATAGAAATGTTATAGGTACCTACTTAATCACTCAATGATAATGAATTCTAACTAATAAGATTTTATCCTCGATTTTATCTATAGGACAAAAATATTCTCAGATTTTTATTCTTACTGGTGTTAGTTAACAGAGTAAAGAGTATTTAACACAATAAACTATGTAACTAAGTATAGGAACATCTCCAAAAGAGGTGATTGTTATTATTTGGAATGTGGGTTCATTTATAGTAGGAAATTACCCACACAGAAAATGTTTTTTTATAAGGTGAAGTTAGAAGTACCCAATTGTTGACAGGGTCCCAAAAGTTGACACATTAGCATAATATTCCCGAAAATAAGAATTTAAAGAGATTATAAGCTAATAGGATTACTGGAGGCATCTTGCGTGCTATATCTGATGTATGGATTTGATAAGTATCACAAGTTTTTTTAAAATGGTGGCAAGTAGTAGTAAACAGGTGCAATTGTTTGAACTTGTTTTCAGATTTCTAGTGAAAGAAGTTAAGCCTCGAGTTAAGCAGATATAAAAACAAAAGTTCTTAAAGCTAAGGTAGGGTTGATAATTGAATAATAAATATTGGGTACATTCAGACGGTGCCAGCGGCTAAGTTCAGCCACTCAGCAGGAACTTTATTCTCGAAACAGGGGAGCAGCGTTCTCATGAGAACAAAGGTTCTGTCTTCATCGTCCGTATTCATATTTCACTGACAATAACAGAGCAATCGTTCTCATGAGAACGCGGTTCCTCGGTTTCGAGAATAAAGTCCCTGCTGAGTGGCTGAGCTTAGCCGCTAGCACCGCCTGAATGTACCCATTCACTGTATGATAAGATATATTGTATACATATTTATTATTGTTTTATCTCTTAAATAACCAGCAACAACTTTTTAAGGGGAGGTGTCAACTATTGGAGCCCAAATTTAGGGGTGATCCAATTTATGGATTTTTGGTGGTAAAAATATTTTAACATTGTAGTCTGTCTCCTTTTATTGCACTGAATTAAAAAGAAGCTTAGATATGGGTTTTTAGAATGTGATGGTCGTAGATCCAATAGATGACACCCCTGTCAATGTTTGGAGCTTTAGAGTGTAAACAATTGGTCCTTCCAGGTTTAAATCAAGAGACGGCTTCTGAAAACGGAAATTGCTGAAATATGCACCAGAAGACATAAGTGCTGCCTTGGATGATTGCGATAGGGGGATTCCTGTAGCTACATCAGCAAAAAAACATAATGTACCAATCGAGGTACCAATGTTTTCTAAGCCATTTCTTTTATTACCAATTTGGAATTGAAGTTTGTATTTTTTTCCCAACAAAAAGTTTCCCAATGTTATTTTTAAAAAAACCTATAAACTTAGAAAAATATACTTCTTAGTTCCACCCACCGTGAAAAAATTCCTTATAAGTAAAAAATTTGGTTTTGTAAAAAAATATTTGTCAACTTTTGGACTAAAAATATGTCAACTTTGGGTGAAGTGAACTTTTTTAGGTGACAACTATTGGGGTTTTATCACCTTTCAGGTATTTTTGGTATGATAGGTAACACAAATAATAGGAACATAGGGTAAATAATATATTTTTTTTACTACTAACCTGAGAAGTAGTCATTATTCAATCTATTTTTCTCGGAAAAAATTGAATTTCTCTCCCTAGGTTAATAATGAAAATAATGAAAAAAAACCTAGGTCAATAATGAAAATGACGTCATGACGCAAGGATATTGTCATAACGTTACAGGTTTCTATTGATTTAATTTCAATTTCAAACTGTCAATTTAATCAAAAAAACAGGTTCCTGTATGTATCATAGGAAATTACCATAGATGTTGATAGAGGGCAGCACTTTCAACTAGAAAAAATAATTTGAGCTCAGATTTCAAACTTATTTTTTATTTTCTACTATAGCAGTAGTAAAAAAAATTCTATATATTCCACGGTAGAGAAAGTCATTATATACCTTACGCATTATAAAAGCGTTCGGTATATAATGACCAACTTCTCTACCTAGGTATATAATGTACTATTATGTCATACCAATACATTATTGTGTTTTTATACCTTAGATACCATCTACATAATTCATTACTTTATGCCTGTGCGGGCATAAAGTACACATTATGGCCCGCGCGGGCATAAAGACGCAAAAAACAGTTTTCAATTAACTTATTCTTTATTAACAAAATATAAATTTACGCTTATAAACATATTATTTTTGTCAAAAAATGATGATGTTTGCACACTGATGACAATTTGCAAAGTGACACTTTTTTCCCAGGTATTTATTATTCACAACCAACTGGTATGACATAAAAGTTTGTATGCACCACAGGTACTAATAGATATATATACCCTCGGGCGACTTACGAGGCCCTCGGCTTTGTAAGACTGTCGCCCTCAGGGCATAATCATCTACTAGTACCCTTGATACATAAATAACTATTATTTCCTACTGAACTATCATAACCATATAATACCTTGGTTACGATAATCATAAACAGGGTCTTAACTCCCAAGGGAGTTAAAGGATTTCATAACTCCCGCGCGGGAGTTAAGGATATCATAACTCCCAAGGGAGTTAAGGAATTCCATAACTCCCGCTTTTACCTTGAATAGGTGAAACTTTGACAAAAAATAGAAATTTTGGTTTATGGTTTATTCCTTCATAAAAATGGACAAAATACAGTAAATTCAGTAGGAAATAAAATTACCTATGTACCACGGGAATTATCAGGTGTTAATACCCTCAGGCAATTGGTGTCCCTCGGGCCAAAGGCCCTCGGGACAGAAACTTTGCCCTGGGGTATTGACACCCTCATAATTCAAATTAGGAAAATGTGTGGTAATCATAAGCAAGGATGCCCTTAACATGTCAACAATTGGGTACTTTTCCTTACTAATTTGAAAAAAAATAAAATAAAGCAAAAAGTAGGTACTACTTACAAATTTCCTTCAATATCATAGGTCAAACATTCTCTAAGATCTCTAAAAAACATCATCGGTTTATTCATCAAATGATTCATATAACCATCTGCAGAAAGTTGCCAATCATGTTCACCATTAATACCATGTCCTGTATTATTGAAATTAACTGCCAATACTGGAAACATGGGACCGCTACCCAAGTTAACATCATTCAGCAGTGGGCCGTCCTCAAATTCATCTGAATTATTAAGTGCAAATGAGTCCTCATAAGTATAGGAACGAGTATCGATGCTTGGTTTGTTGCATGGAGTTTCGGGCTCTGTTTGCACCTCTTGATCTTGGTTGTCAACAATAACTTTTTCAGTTTGCACTCCTATGCTAACAAATCCCGCTTTTTCTTTCATTGATAAATTTAGAGCTTGCATTTTGGCTTGTGATAATATTGCCAAATTTTTTGCTGACAAAAGTTTTCTCGGATTATTGTTGCCACCTAAAAGAAGTGGTTCTTCTACATCGGGGGGTTTCACAAGATCATCAGGACTCGATTCCAAACTACTACTAACTGTAGCGGGTTTTTGTTTTCTTATCAATTTAATTGTTTGCATGTTATCATTAATGCTAGCAGGAGCTGGTTCGAGCCTTATCAGTTGTGGTAGGGAGACTAACAGATCTTTATTTTGGTTTATTGAAGTATTATTGTTCACTAGGGGTTTGGCGGGACTCGTTACGGAGCCTACTGCCTTACTCGAACATACATTTTGTTTCGGTAATTGGTCACAAGTAGGCACCAATAATAGTTTGAGTGTTTTGCCTTTTTTCAATTTATTGCTACATTTTTCTCCAGATTTTTTATTCAAACAGTCTGAAGGCTCTTTTTTACTTTCCTTGACAATAAAATCGCTTTTAACCACAGGGTATTGGTTTTCCTCTTCGAAGCCCACAAGTTCGAAACGTTCCCCCATTATCTCATAGCCTGATTTTATATAGTAACTGAGTCTTGGATCGTAATCCGTAACGTAGTTCCCCATTTTCCGTATGCGAGAACGTCTTGAATTAGTTTTACCAATCTTTCCTTCTGAAAAAAATAAAATAGGTGAAAAATACATCGACCTATTATTGTTGTTATTTTGCTTACCAGCAGTGAGTTTTGATAAGGTTGGACTCATTACGGATCGTTTTAATCAAATTCACACACCTCTGTGTTTCACCAAATCACAACGTTACAATGTTGCAAATACACCATATAAATGAAAAATGCAATTTGGGGAAATCCCACAGACTCGATAGACAAAAAACACAGACAGAGACGACGTACGTCTGTACAATTTGTATTTGAGGAAAATTAATTGAACAGTGTTGCCGGCTATTTAATTTTTGATGAGTCCTCTTCCACTTTCCAGATATTTATCGATGGCATAGCAAAAAGTTTGTAAACAAAATTATGTAGATATGAATGCTGCTATTATGACTAGTACCGAGACTGAACAACAAATTAATAAAAAACACAATAAATTAACATAAAAGTATGTTACGGCAGCGCTGTATATTTAGCTGAAATAAGAAACGACGTGCTTGAATTTTCACAAAGGCGCTTGCGTGTTCTAGTTTAGTAATGAGCGATTTGATACCGTGATTTTTTGATATCAGTGATTTTAAAGCGTGAAGTGATCACGACTTTCAGTTCAGTACGTTTTCATTAATGTAATTTCCATACCTAATTCACTTTTTTTTTTCTTTTGCTATTCAATATAAAATCTCTAAAAATATCCTTATACTTTATCTGAGCTTTATATCAATATCAATCTAAGATACTGTTGCCTTTATCCCTGATTATTTCATTCATTATAAAATAGACCTATCAGACAACGTCATTTTTTGAATGAATTTTGTTTAAATAAGTGATTATTTCACAAGACCTTGTTTATTAGCGATTAAATTTTTGTTTACCTTTTTTGACAGAATTTTGATAGAAATATTCTGACATTTTATAATAAATAGAACTCTTTTGGATAGGATTGACGCCAATAATTAAGTCCTAATTATTCAGGAAATAATCTAGCCGTATACCACTCGACCTATAAATTTAAATGGATTAAACTATCCAAATATTTTTTGCATAATTTTCCTTTTTGGCAAATAGCTTCATGCACAATAACTTTTAAATAAAAGCCCTCGACCGCTTCGCGGTCTCGGGCTTTTATTAAGTTATTGTGCATTCAACTATTTTCCAAGCAAAATCATGCTCAAAATATGTTGGATAGTTTAATCGATTAAATTTAAAGGTCTTGTGATATAATATATGATTATTTCACGCTTTTTATAAGACTGGTATAGCGATTGCTCGGCGTAACCATATCGCCGAGGCGGTTAGAGAAATGACATACCGTTTTCTAACCCGGTTACAATAAAAGTGATACCTTTGATACCACTCGAATTTGAGTTCGTGGTAGGTTGCGGTTTGTTAAACCGGAGCCACGTGAATAAATTAAATCTATGAAATATTGAAGTCGTAATCCTAATATATGATCGAAATTCAAACTGGCTAAAATCCCGCCAAAAGCTCAACATACATGCATGGCAGTGACGACACAGGATAGAATAAATTCAATATGGCTGTATAAGACAAACATTTGTCATCTGTGATGTGTTCGCTTATACAGGGTGTCTCCGTTCAACTGGTCAAAAATGCTACTTCTCTATGGTTCCTCTATATACCATAGAATTTTGTACCAGTTGAACGGAACTTTTAAATAAAAGCCCTCGACCGCTTCGCGGTCTCGGGCTTTTATTAAGTTATTGTGCATTCAACTATTTTCCAAGCAAAATCATGCTCAAAATATGTTGGATAGTTTAATCGATTAAATTTAAAGGTCTTGTGATATAATATATGATTATTTCACGCTTTTTATAAGACTGGTATAGCGATTGTGATCCGTGATTTCAGCGATTTAAATCACAGTTCGCTCATCGGTGTTCTACACTTTACCTGGGCGCTATTCATTGCATATCTCTATAATGGCGGTAGGTTTCTCAGTAGCGAGTTACCTCCGGGTTGGTTTCAACTCCAAGGTAAACGTGTCCAGTTGCAATATTTACTCTGGAGTTATGCTTAACCGGGGGTGACTTGCTATCGATAAACCGGCCCTATGATCTGTTCTGCTCTGGTTGCTCCAAGCAGCGGTTTTTTTTATTAAACTAAAAGAGCTGTCTAGAGTCCCGAACGCGGGATCGCTAAAAAATGCAGAATCCCGAAGAGGCTCGACTCGATAACGGCGTTCGGGACTTTCCAAAAATTATTCGATCCCAACCTCGGGACTGTAGTAACAGTAACAGAAGTAAACTCCCGACTTAATTTTATTGTTTCTGTCGCATTTCTCCTTCGCTTTGTAACCGTTGATCTTGTTTATCCTTGCTACTGTCTGCTCTGCTTGGTGCCTCATAAGTTTCAACAGGAGTGGTTTAGTAATTATTATTTCAGAATTTTCCAATTTCTGATCTTGTTCATCATAGTCCATATGGATCTCGAAAGTCTCGATAGGGGTATCAACGACAACTTGTTCATGATTAGGGATTATTTCAGAATTTTCAAACTGCTGCTCTTGTTCATCATAGTCCTGGATCTCATAATCTCATCGATAGGGGTATCAACCTATCAACAACAACTTGTTCATGATTAGGGATTATTTCATATTTTCATCTTGGATCAGATTTATCTTCAACTGTCTTGTATAAATTAGGGGCATGATGCTTCGCGGATGTGATAGTTTTTGCATCCCGTTTCCAAAATTGCACCCTATTTTCTTTCTCATATAAATCAATAGGATCTTGTAATTCTTTATATGTACCAAATGTGTCATTTTTATATTAACCCGATAATAAAGGATACAAATTTTCAGCCTGAAAACTGCCCAAGACCCACAACAGTTGGCAGTCTAACCTTACTTTTGTTACCCTGGTCCCGAAGTCGGGATTCGAATAATTTTTGAGTAAGTCCCGAACACCGTTATCAAGCCACGCCTCTTCGGGATTCTGTTTTTTCTAACGATCCCGCGTTCGGGACTCTAGACAGTTCCTAAACTAAAGATCAATATTTAGCCCTTAAAAGTAAGAAGTATCTCTTCATTTTTTTAAAAATTAAATCTATGGAATATAAAGTCGTAATCGTAATTATATTATGATCAAAATTCAAACTGGCTAAAATCACGCCAAAAGTTCAGCATACATGGCAGTAACTTCACGAGGTAGAATAAATTCAATATGGCTGTGCTGTATACATAGGCGTATCCAGGGAGGGGACTGCCGGGCTGCAGCCCCCCCCAAGGCGAGTCTAGATTTTTTTTTTTGAGCGTATTTTATGTGACATGTACAGTTTTTGTAAAAAAAAAATAGAAATAAAGTTTATTTCTTTCTATAATAAGGTTTTTTTTATGACGGGCGCCTAATGCAGCTATGGATTCAGTGCTTCATCTTAAACAAAATTTTTGAACGGCCGCGAAAACGCGGGATAGGAAAGGAACGTCACTTTCCCAAATATGCGAGGATGCCAGATTTCTCATTAGTAAACCATTCCAAAACATGGCTGACTTAAAACTTGCCACAACCCATGACGTAATTTTGTCTTACATTATAAAAAAAGAAAGGATAGGTATAGTCGGTGAACTCTTGCTACCTAGTAAAATGATCCTAAAACATTTCGGCAGTTCTAATGTGAAATGTGGCAAAAAGCGCATGAATATCGGCTTAAGCCAATAAGAGGCACGTAAAAATGGACTATACTATTGTGCACAGCGTTTTTTTTTTTTTTTTTTGTGTTAACAGAGCCCTCCAAACCAAACAAAATCCTGGATACGCCTATGGCTGTATAAGTCAAACATTTGTCATATGTGATGTGTTTGTTTATACAGAGTGTCCTCGTCCAACTGGTCAAAATGCTAGGCAATATTTTCGCCAGTGCCGTTGAATCTGACCTACCTATTATGTCTACTATGGACAAATATCTTGAATGTCAGCAATTCACAATTAAATAATATGTGGAGAAATATAGGGGCAGCAAGTTTTTTTTTTCAAAATTGTGGAATTAGGTATTCAATATTTCATTCCTTTTTATTACAGCAAGCTAAAAAGTGAAAAATAGCTAGTTTAATTTCTTTTCGTTCAATGCTTTAGTAGATGTGGACCATGGGTGGATAGACCTACTAGAACCAGTTTATCTAAAGTTTATAAGTTCTTGTTACCTACAGTCTACAACACGACTTATTATTTAGTTTTTACACTTTTCCGAACTTTCCAGCTCTCCGTTGTTCATATTTTTTTCTTCTAACCGCTCGGCGTAACCATATCGCCGAGGCGGTTAGAGAAATGACATACCGTTTTCTAACCCGGTTACAATAAAAGTGATATCTTTGATACCACTCGAATTTGAGTTCGTGGTAGGTTGCGGTTTGTTAAACCGGAGCCACGTGAATAAATTAAATCTATGAAATATTGAAGTCGTAATCCTAATATATGATCGAAATTCAAACTGGCTAAAATCCCGCCAAAAGCTCAACATACATGCATGGCAGTGACGACACAGGATAGAATAAATTCAATATGGCTGTATAAGACAAACATTTGTCATCTGTGATGTGTTCGCTTATACAGGGTGTCTCCGTTCAACTGGTCAAAAATGCTACTTCTCTATGGTTCCTCTATATACCATAGAATTTTGTACCAGTTGAACGGGGACACCCTGTATAATTTTACCTCAAGACCTCAATGAATTGTTAACACGTTTTATTGATTTTTCTTTGCTCTAAACTGCAATTTTTGATTGGCTTAAGTATCTATTTTCTAGAAAATGCCTGCAATCTGAATTGTGGTGGTTGTGGATGCCGCTCTTATCGTGATAAATGATAAGATCGAGGTCTCATTTTATGTCATTCCTGCAGAGACAAAACACAGGCTTTTAACGTAGAAAAAGGATTTATATTATGCTTTTTGTCTGCAAAAAGGCGAAACTACTCAAAGATTAATGGTTAGTTTAGTTACTTAACTTCTAAATATTCTGGAGTTTCCATCTTGAAATACCTACCAAAATTATCCTTCTCAAGCAATAGAAAATCACCAAATGAAACACCACAGAATACACGGATAATAAAAACTTACGGTTGTCTGAAAATAAACTCCACTGTTTGACCTTGAGCGTCATTGATTCGATTGCCCTTATTGGTAATCTTTAGTTAAAAATGCTTACGGAAAATACAGACTACGCATGGTCGCATGTTGTATAATTCAACTGTTGAAAGTGTTGTTTTTTCCATCGGCGGTTCACGATAGCTACACCGATGGAGCCACCAAGCCAACGATGTAATAAGGATGGTATCCTGATTTCAAGTAGAGATTAGATTAAAGTTGAATAGAATAATAAAAAGTTTTTAATTATACCTTCCAACCAAGTGGAGGTCGCATTGACCTATGAAAACTTTGAATTTACTACGTTTGTGTCTGAAAGTATATCAGAAGTTTTCTACCCGTTGTTTTATCCATCAACTCACCGGTTCAACAATATGCCAACAGAAATTCTCTGATGACCAACAACCAAAACAACGTTGCCAACAGAACGGTGAATAAAACAACATGCGTACTACGATATTGAGCTCAGGTTTAACTTTAATCAAAGCTGAAAGTGATATTTTCACATGTAAAAATGTCACTTTGAGCGTAGGTTATCGTAAATCTCCCTTTAAATGGTCGGTGCAAACCAAGGATGATACACACTACTACTACAACAGGATGGCCTATCCTCATAAGGCCTGTGTGTAACAAATCTCCCCCTACCTCCCCAGGCCCAAAAACCAGTTGTGACGTAAGCAGCATGGCGTTTCTCGACTTGACGTAAGCTGTTCAAACAGCTGACGACTTGGTTTCTTAGTTATGACGTCGGCAATGGTTGAAAACCAATATGGCGGCATCAACAAAAAACGAGGCCGATAAGCACTCCTTGAGTGTAGCCTCCTTGGGTACAAACGGCCATAAGGATTGCTTATCGGTCTCGTTTATGGTAATCGCGGTGATAATGAGGAGAGGTTCTCACAAGAGTCTAACAGTTTGCAAACTGTCAAAGACTCTTGTGAGAATAGACCTATGGTGCACCATTACCGACGTCATTAACTAAGTTGTCACTTGTCAGCTGTTTGCGCCAGCGGTCGTGGTTAGGAATTTAAATTTATGATGAAATATAATATTTAATTTTGATTAACATAATAGGCAAAGAGAAAGATGCAAACGAGATCTGAAAAAGAGTTGTTTTAGAATGTTAATTGATGTACCAAAACCAAGTATGCAAGCAAAAGCCTGCGGAATCATAAACACCCTTCAAGGCGAGAAGCGACACGTTGCCTACGTCATCACTGGTGCTTTGGCGTAGTAGGGGCACAGTTTATACCGTACCGATACAGTTGTTCAACTCCGTTGACAAACCATAGATTTTTTTGAAGCCAAATTCTATGTCCCTATATTTCGCGCTTGCGCATTATTGATCGGAAACAACGAATCCTGGGCCGTGGACAGAGTCGGACTAGGATTTTTTGTGGATTAACATTGAGAATATAACGGGATCATATAATAATAAACAAAGATTATGTGAATGTATAGAGTAAACCTAATATGAAATATGTAAATTTAAATACTTACAGTCGTTCATCGTTCGGGAAACTAAAATATCCTAAGCCTGTGCTAGTTCTAGTGTTGTTTTTACAGACAAAACAGGAAGCAACCATGATAATACAAATACACAATATATAAACGATAAAACAGTCAAGTACACAAAAATCGCGAATAACACGGAAAGCAAGACACTCTTAAGCCGAATTTCAAATTGATGAATTTTCCGGTTACTTTTCAATTTCCTGAATAATTTCTGTCAAAAAACTTCTCTTCTTTTTTTGTAATACAATTCTGTTGCGTGCAATGAACTATAGCTAAAAACTGGAATGTGCACACATTGCCATATCTGCCACAAAAATGAAGCCATGTAAGACAGATGCCACAAAGGGGAATGTTGTTTTTTTCTGTTGCTCGCTGACATATGACGTTTTCGAAAGTTTTGTCATATTTCCCTTCACAGGTTTCATCAATTGGAATACGTGTTGGAAGCAATTTTCGCCATTTAACATAATGAGTGCGACAAAAACAGGTATCCCCTCCGCAGCAGCCGCACTAGGCTTCAAGTTCGTCCTTATGTGTTAGCATTCCAGTTTTTGGTTATAGTTCATTGGTTGCGTGTCTCGTTTGACAGTTATTTCTCGCGGGTTCTCACCCAAGCTATCTCTATCTCTTTTTTGCGTGCAGGATTGGAAAGAGACATGTATATGCCGAACTGCTTTTTCAATTTGAGAGATTTGTTCACTCATTGAGCGCATGCGCAAGATATGGGACAAAATGCTCCTATTGGTTGGAGAATTTGGCATCAAAAAATATGGAGAGTTGTACAACTGTATCGGTACGGTATAAACTGTGGTAGGGGGCTTGAGATTTGATTTACATGTGTGATTTGATAGGATGTTAGTAAGGAATAAGGATTAGCTACCTACGTAATGAGAATGAAAAAGTCTTAGTTGGCTTCAGGAAATAATTGTTTTATTCTGCGTTGCCTCTTGAAAATTATGGATAGTTATAAAGCGACTAAAGGCAGATCAACCTTAATTTCTTCTATATCTAATATCACATAAGCCTAATTTCTACTGCTAAATATACTTCTAAGGGAATTTATTTATTAGTTTTCTCATTATTATTAATAATATTATTATTAGTATTTGTAGCTGTGACATTTTCCCCATCGATTTTAATCGGAGACGCATTAATATTTTCTCCATTGGTGAAACTTGTCGACAGTTTTGCGATGTGTTGAATGGCCTTGAATCTCGTGTGAGCTTTCATTTTTCCAACTTTCTTCTTCCACTGAAATTAAAAATAATAATAATAATAAAATATAATTGATCAGAAAATAGTACGTCGTTCACTCATGCACATGAGTTGCCAGCAGGTCTGCGGGTGACGTCAGCACTATCAGCAGCCGATACTACTGACGTCACCCGCAGACTTCGAAGAATTACTTGCGATTCAGGCTGTGCTTGTGAGTTAATTTTTGCATCGATTTTAAATCTAGAATTAAGGAATTCGTTTTTTTGACGTATATACTTGGATAAATCATTCTACACGAAGAGTTGAGGTTGACGTCACAAATAGTAGGGAGTTGTCGCCTGGACATGGCAAACACGGCCTTTTCGGGTTTGGAAAAAGGACGGTTCTAGAACGGTTCAAAACAATCGCACAGTTTATTATTGAAATTTGTGATAGCCGAGTTGTTGTCATTTTGTCGTTCGCTCGCTGGTCACGTGATTACGACTCCGCTCAGCACGCTCTGCTCTTTGAGCAAAATACCGAACGCAAGGAAATATCTTCCAAAATTTAATTGGTTACCAAATGACGTTTACATTTTCATCTTTCAACTATGATTGACTATGACCGACCGATCAAACGCTTGAAAACTCCTAGTCAGAGTGACATATATGTCACATTTGAGGAATCGTAGTCACTGTCATATCATAATTTCATATCGCTGTGACTGACTTGGATTCACAATTTTTATGTGTTTTTAAAACAAAAATTGAATGATTGTTTTTTTTTTTGAGAAAAATTGTGGTTGTTTTTAAATCATATTATTGGTAAGTGTTTGGTGTCAGTTTCTCCTTTCATATTCAAACGTTTCTTTAAGTTATTATTTGTTGTTTCTTGTTTTAATAAAAGTTGTTTAATGTTTATAGCGGTGATTTGTAGTTTATTATTTAAGTATGGGTTTTCAAAAGTAGTTTTCAGGAGCAGTAATAGCGTATTTGCTTTATTTCTCAAGTTAACTTCAATTGTGAAATCGAAATACTCGATTAAACAAGGGGTACATTTTTGATAGGTTAGGGTTGTCTTCGACAGTAATTTTAACTCAAGAGCTCTGGATAAGCTACCTGAAGGCTCTGTGTTGTCTTGATTTGTTAATTTGCACTATTCAGTTTTTTGGACTCGGATTTGCATTTCTTGTAATTCCAAGAAGATGCCCAATGCCCCACCTTTATTTTGGACCTAAAACTTGTTCCTTTCTTGTTCTCACTTTTGCTCATAGGCTCGGTTTATTCATCTTCAGATAAACTTGCTGGTAACTATCTGCAAAATAAATGTATCATTCTATAATTCTTTTGGTCCATTGATCGGCGAATAACTGGCTGACCAATGGGATTACATACCTGAGAGTTTATCAGAAGGTGAATAAACCGGCCCTTAGTCTAGTTTTACTGAATTTTGTATTTTCTCAATCAATCAAAATAGAGCGGCATTCTTTTGTCAACAAAGAGCTGGGTTAAAAAATCAAACCTTAGTCTGGAAAAGACTCTTGAGGATTCACTCTAACTTGACAACAACTCTACCTATTAGTTTTAGGTATTTTTAATCAGAATTGCCACTCTGTGATCTGGTATTACAATTATTTCTGAACCCTGTTGGAAAATAACAACACTGGCTCACCTATTTATATGGAAAACTTATCCGAAAAGCTGAGCCAAAAGCCTTAATTTTTCACTATCAATCTAATACTAAGAACTAACATTAAGCATTGCAGAAAATGTCTAGAAAATGCAATTACACTTATTTTCAATATATTTCATGGGAAAAAACCAGAAAAGCACTTGTTGCAGATGTGGTTTTTAATGTAATTTCAAACGAAAAATTCGTCCAGGAAATGATTTGTATAACTAGGTATACCTAAGCTCCAATTTAGGTTGTACATATTTTTGTTAAATGTGCATTCTCTCAGAAGTCAAATAGGTAAGTATTGCATAAAATGTCTAGAAAATTTAATTTTACAATTATTTGTTTTGGTCATTTTTTTTCATATTTCAAGGGAGAAGGCCGAGGAGAAGGCCAAAAGATGCACTTCTAGGACAAATTTGCATCATTTCAATCATTATTTAGTGTTTTATTGCTATTTTGAACCAAAAGTATGCCTAGGAAAGGATTGGTATAACTATTGTTTGCCCAGCGGATCTGAGTCTACGGAAGGAATTCGGACGTAAATGTGCCATGTTGTCACGTTTAATTATAAAAAAGCGAAAATACTAGGTATGGAGTATAGTTCATTTGAAAATCCATTTTTTAATAACAAAATATATATAGATACCAATAAAACGCTAAATATTTCAACGTGGTTGTTAGATCTATTCTTATAACTGATTTCTTCAATTTTGTCCATTGTAAAAAATAAACATTTTCTAAAAATACCATCAGTTTTTGACAATTTGGCAAGCATCCGGCCTGGATGAACCTGATTGGTGGAGTTTTTGGCAGGATGGCCGTTGCCACGGGGAACCATGCCGTTGTCAATGGGCTAACGTCACCTTACGTCTCGCTATTGGCCAGGGCTTCCGTCATTTTATCCTCCCATCTTGGAATATCGATTTATATTGAAATATCCAGTGGCGGGGGTTTGGTCATTGTCGCTTTTCGTGTAGGAGTTGCAATACGATAACACTTCCAAAAAATTCCGTACGCAGCTGGGTATTTTATGAATGAAATCAGCCATTTTTTTTTTACAACTGCATTCCCCTTACCGTTGCCCCGTAGACACAGAGTCGCTGGGCAGACTTTATAAGCTCCAATTTAGGTTGTATTTTTGTTAAACTCACATTCCAGTCCAACTCTCGGGCATACTTTGGATTGATTTTGATTAGGAAAATGTGGAAAATTACAGAAAATATCTGCAAAATGCAATGTTACTCTCATTATGGATATTTTTTTTTGATACCTTGAGAAAAATCTAAGTCTACTTTGAATAGATTTTGCTTGAGATTTTGATTAAGAAGAAGTGAAATATTGCAGAAAGTCCTCGAGAAAGTTTGTCTAGAAAATACATATTTACAATTATTTTGGACATATTTCATGCGACAATACCAACAAAAAAAAGCACAAAATTTGGACCTACCCCTTCATCTCTGGAAGGCATACCAACCAAATAGTTGTTAATATCATTTTTAGCAGGATCTAGAATAGCTAAAACAGACACACAACCATCCACGGTCCCTAAAACCAAGGCATTTCCATCAGGGGTACTTTCTACAGCTGTTAATTCTGCTTGCACCCTGTAGTTGGCTACCATTTCTGCATCCGCAGTTCTAGAATAATAATTTTCATAACATTTCAAATAAAATCATGCAAAAACTTATACCTGAAAACTCTTAAAGTCTTCCGGCCACTATGATAATACAAAACATATTCATCAGTTTTATTAAACATACAAATTATTGTAAAAACACCTTCTGCTACTTTTGGTATGTAAGTCTTTACACTTGTGCCTTTTTTGAGCTCTATAAGCTCTAACCCACCTCTAAAACAAAACAAAATCTAACGTATTTAACACACATGGATTCAATTTTTGCCTTTGTGGTGCATAAAGTCCATATTTCCCATCCTTGGTAACACTCCCACCCCATTTCGGTATCGACCTTAGATGTTTCTTACTTCTAATATCAATGATAGCACCTTTATCGGTTGTCAATACAGCTATAAGATGGCCTTTGTGAGGCATAGCCACCAATCCTGCAACATCCTGGAACGATTTTATTTATTTATCAAAAATATTTTTGCTCAACAACTTCATTTAGGTACCTTAATTCCACACATTTTCAAAGGTATTCTGTGAATCAAACTACCATTTTGGGCATTGTAGATTATAATGCAATCTCTGTTAGTTTTATCGGCAGCTGAAATTACAAGGTGTTGGTTGTCTGAAGTTATTACCGCTGGTCTGAATGGTACCCCTGTGATACTTCTTACTGGGTATTCAAATGTATAGACCATTGCACCACCTAAATGATAAAGATGCGTTTGCCGTTTGGGTTTTACTTATAGTCCAAGACTCGGTCCAAGAGCCCAGAGCCGCCAGACACAACTTAGTTTCTAATAGGACAGAACATGTGGGATTGAGTAGCACTTATGGGTACTACAAACATAATATGTATACCCGCTAAGTTGGGTAGATGGCCAATTGAAAATAATAGTAACAGCTGAAACTGTTATTTGTAAATAACGGGTTTTCCCATTAAAACTCTAGCCTGGAGTAGACTGTAAGTTTAAGAGGGGAAAATCAGTTGACATAGATATCTCGCTCACTCTCAAACGCATGCATAGTACCCTCGCGCTCACACTCCCGGAAAAATTATTAATGCGTCTGGGGGGATGTTTGGCGGGTGCGATTGGTCTGGCTGAGCACATGTAGTTATGAAAAAGTCTCCCCAATAACATATATAAAAATCAAGTTAGTGTTTTTCTCAGCTTTTGCATCTAGTGTTGGTAAATTGGCTGTCTACCCAACTTAGCGGGTATACATACGTTCATAGTACATATCAGTGCTACACAATCTCACATATTCTGTCCTTCAGAAAATAAGTTATGTCTGGCGGCACTGGGCTCTTGGACTATTAAGGGTTGGGTGGAAAATTGAAAGCAATTATTTGAATATGTCTACGTTGGAAAACTGCATCACTATCCGAATAAGTGAATGGTCTAAAGATAAAATCCATACTGTGTACATTTACATTCCAGAATGCTTAGAATTCATTACGAAGATTTATTTGAAAACCAAAAAATTGAGCACGTACAAGCAGAATAGATATTCCAGATTTCAGCTATCTAGGAACTTGTGAAGAATTTTTAAATGAAAACAATAAATCGCAGTTTTCAAATTCAATTTTGACCTGTTTTTTTTTCTAAAATTTTCATTAATTTCTTAAATTATCTCCAGGCTGAATGATGAATACAGGATTTTAATTCAACATAGTTTAACAAATTGAATACAGGATTAATTCACAACCAAGTTCATACCCTGATCCAAGAATTTAACAAATAGAAATTGAACTATCATTATAACTTAAGTTAGAATTATTTTTCTCACTTGGAATTTCCCTAACACAAACTGTAGCAGTTGTCCTCACAAAATCCGTCCCTGGAGGATTGCTGGGTTTGGAAATGGACAATATTTTTGTCCCATTATCAATTAAAGTTAACTGTTTAACTCCTGGTTGTTCATCCTTAAAAATCACTTGCTGAGTTAATCGTAGCCAAATTAAAATGTTGCCTGTTTCAGCTGATATAATGTACCTAAGATAATAAAACTCATTTACTTTTTAATTAAATGAATAAACAAATCTTTCTTTACTTTCCATCGGGTGTAATAATAGCATGGGTAACTATAGCTCCTAAAGGACTGTCAGCTAATTTAGCCATAAGTTTTCCAATTTTCAAATCCCAAACTCCTACACAGTTTCTCGTAGCTGTTACGGCTAAACTTAAATTATCTGATAAGCTGTAAAATTAAATTATTATTTTGCTGTTTGTAATTAAAAAAACATTTTGATTTGAAACCTTATTGCGTCCACTTGCAATTCATGCCTATCAATCACGTGAACTTGTTCAAAAATATTATTTATGTTCCAAACCTTCACAGTTCTATCGATGGATGATGTCACTATGCTGTTCCAATTTCCTATGGTTAGGGGCTCTAGCTGTATTATTCTTCCAAAATGGGCATCCAAAATTTTCACTACTTTTTTGGTTTTGATACTCCAAACATATAAGTTTTTTCTGGATTTTGAAAATTGATAATCAAATTTAAGACAAATCGGGACACTTACCTGACCCCTGCTATAGCATAATTTTTATGTGCGCTAAGCATAATAGAATTAGAGTAGAGCATTTTTGTTGTTATATTGCGAGTGCCGTAAGGAAGAGTCAATTCTATGGCTCTGTTTTCTTCTATACAATTTTCTTCGTTGAAATCCCATAATACAAAACCATTGCTGGTTGTACCTAAGATAAATAGTTATAGTTTGTTTTTGTTTTTGAAAGGCAAGCTTTTACCAAACAAAACTTTATCATATTTATCCAATTTTAATTGCAACATAGCTTCGGTATTATCTTTTTCACTTCTAGGCAAATCGCATTCTTTGTCCCAAGTCTTAGTTTCACTATTTTTCACATATTTCGTAACACAATATAGAGAATCTGTTGTACATGCGTATAAGGTAGATTTATCTGTTGTCAGAACCATTGCACTAAAAAAGAAATGTTCACAGTTGAGTGGATCAAACTTAAATTATATTATCAGAGCTGCTGAGGTCTGGACTTTGAATACCAATTCTGGAGCTCATACTTGAAGGTACAAAAAACGAGCCTTAAAACCAGTTGAATGCAATTTTGCTTGTTGTATTTTGTAACTTTGTAGGCCAAAAACAAAGCACCCTCATGTAGGACATTTGATTCCTGAGAGTTGTCAGAGATAAGAGAGAAACTTTTTTACTGCTATTCTGTTTACAATTGGCCCTTTTCTAAGTTTATTTTTTGTTCCTAAAAATAAGCCCACTTGCTATTAAGATTTTACCTATGATAATCAAACATTTCATATTCTCCATCCTTAGTTTTACATAAAAATTTCATTCTGTCATCGTCTAAATTATTTCTCCAGAATACTATACGATATTCTGATATATTATCCCATTCTATTACTAAAATACAAATAAATTATTTTGTGCAAATGAAATCTACTCGAAAATCCCTTACACAAAATAGGCCATTCTTCCTTATTTAAGGGCCCACGAAAATCTTCCTCTCGATTGCCTCTCATATCAAATTTAACCCAGCTGTCGCCTCCGTAAATGAAAAGATTGTGATTGAGTAAAAATATTCCTGTAACATTATTGCCTTCTTCCAGTGGGTTCTCGATAATGACAAATTCGCTTGAGAGCATATTTAGTAGGACTGACTAAAAAATCTATGTTTTTATTTAATTCTAAGATACTAAAAACTTGTTACTTGATTGTTATTTGTGTAAGCAGCAGCCCATTTATTATCAGGACTCAATACCAAATGTTGCATGATTCCTTCAATATTTGGATTCACATCTCTGGTCAAGTCACTTGTGGACAAATCCCAAGTTATAAATCTGTTTGATACTGAAACTATGTATCTGTAATCTGATGTTAGGCATATGGAAAATACTGCAAATTGATGTCCTTCAAGAGAATACTATTAAAAAAATTAATCAATATTTTTTCCAGTTGAATTTAATTGAAATACAACCTTTAAAGGACCTCCAGGGGTGTGTAGGCAATGGTACAGAGGCAACAGGGCACAATGCAAAGGCCCTTTAAAATCGCAATCATTAAGCAACATTTTAATGTTTGGATTAGGAGCCACTTCTGGTAATAATCTACCAATCAATTGTGGGGCTAACATGTTTGGGTATTGCCCTAATACTGCTCCTCCTAGTCTCAGAGCGTCTGCTACCAACATAAGTTCTCTAAAATTAAAACTCCATACACTAAAATTTGATGCTGAAATCTTTGAAAAAAGAACGTCAGGAAATTGAAAAATTGAAGAATTTACCCCACATTGCTTAATGCGATTTTATTTCTGGAACTATATTTGGACTTATAGTTTTGGATGAGCTGAGATTTTCAGGAATTGTAGTCCTCTACTGGGTTAAAAGTCGCTGAAAATTTCAGCTTTCTATCTATAATAGAAAAATAGTTATGAATTTTCAAAAATCTAAATCATAAGGTCCTACTACTAAAATGATGAAATTTCAAAAAATTTTATGTTGAGATTGTGTATTTAACTGATTATTTGGGACTCTCCCAAACTCCATACACTAAATTATTCATTTTCAAAACTATAAGTCCAAAGGAACAGTAATTTTCAGGGATTGTGGTCTGCCACAATGATAAGTATTACTGAAAATTTCAGCTTTCTATCCTCGTTTCTATCAATAATAGAACAAAAGTTATGATTTTCCAAAAATCTAATTCATTTGCCATAACTTGCAAAAACTCTTCCTGAAATATTAGGTACCTTTTGGAGTCCTTGTCTTCAATATTTACGCTAGCGTCTTCATAGTCAGATAAAACTGACTGTAGAGGGCAGCTACACAGTTTGGCATGTACCCACTCGTAATTAAATAAGACATTCTCATATAAATCTGTAAATCTCCTGGATCTAACCAAGTGGAATGGTAGTTCGCCAAACTAGAATTACGAAATTTATTGTTTGTAACCTGTGATCTATTTCAAACCAGAGCTATCGAAAGTACAAGTTGAAAGCGCAGTTCTAGAATTTAGGCTTGCGTTGTGATCTCTATAAACTTTCAAAGAAAAGAAGTCACTGCGTTCTTTGGTTGTTTCAGCTCTGGCTATTGGAACTTGTTATAAATAGATCACAGTGACAATATTTGGTTGCAAAAATCTCTGTTTTGCTAATAAATTTTACCTTTCTCAAATTATATCTAGACACTTTCCCTTCCTTGGAATAAAAGACCAAAGGTTGAACAGGCACTTTTCTATCAGCAACACCCTCTTTATCAGTCAAATTAAATCTGTGCCTTTGTATTTCCGTATATTTAAACGGTTTCGGCTTACCACCGCCCCATATGCCCAAAAAATAGTCGGCTATCATTGAATGAAAATACATCGCCATATTCATGTTTTTGAAATAGCGCTCTTTCGCTGCATCTCTGAACTGTCTATGATACCAATTCATTACGCTAACGCCATCTGCTTCTCTTTCTGACAAATAGTTGGGTAAATCGTTTCTTATTCTGGTCCATAGTAAAGGCGGTATACGTCTGACTGGTGGCAAATGGTACTGGTAAACATCATCCAAGACTTTATCATCTAATGATATCAGATCTTCCAGCTCTGATTCTGACAGGCCACTTTTTGCTGCTGTTATATACGCCAAACCGTGAAAGACCAATATTCTTCCATGCTGGAAAATAACCCAAATTATAAAAAAATTGTTTGACCAAGACAATTATTGGAATTGTACCTGTTTCTCAATTCTTTCAAACAGCATCATAATAGAGTCCATAACAGTGGAAGCTAGATATGTGTCTTGGCTCTTAGTGTAGCTACGCCATCTGCAAATTTCTGCAAACACTAGCTTAACAAATATAGGAAGACTGCATTTGTCTATGGCGTTTGACACTAATCTCCATTGGTAGTTGGTTAAGTCTCGACAAGCTGTTCTCATCCACATCCTAAAACATTTCATGATTAAGCTCTAGAGTTTTGAAAATTCAAAAGTTACTTTATAACTTTCATAGCAAGTTCTTCCCCTAAAGCTTGCACGTCAATGAAATTTTCTTCAACATCGACCATCCTCCTCAATATATGATACTCTTTTGAGACTTCGGGGTTGGTTTCTTCCGAAGCACAAGAAACGATTATCTTGCAGTATTTCGGAAGACGTGTTGGTAACCATGAAACCTACAACCAACCATTTTATTTCTAATTTATTTCACAATACATAATATGTTAATTTTACTTTATTTGCATCAGCAGTCCCTGTAAGCTGATCTACTGAATCCAAAAACAACAATAGAGGTTGCTGTTTTGTCGATAAAGTTAAAAGTTGCTTAAAATGAGCTGTCAATGGTACAAGATCATCTGGTATACCATCAAATGGCAGCATGAAGTTGTAAGATATCTGCCAACAAATAGAAGTATGACAATGAATAGATAATATTCTCCCACTCCCTCTATAATAACAATTCTTACTTGCTGACAAATAGAAATCAATGTAGGTGTTAGAGCACTAGAATCAGGAGTGGTTCCCAAAAATCTGATGATGCTTATAGGTTTGGCACCTTCAAACCAAGCTTGTGAGGTAGACATACTGGCTGATTTGGCTAATAGGGACGTTTTACCACAACCACCTTCTCCATAGAGGACTAGAAGCTTATCAGAATCGTCTAACATGTATTGGTGGATGTGTTCGAGACTCTCCTCACGACCATAAAAGACCTAGAATAGGATAATTTTTTTCAAATATATAGAAATAAATCACATTTTGTGAAATGTGAACATGATCGACTTTCTTGTATCCTACTAGGGTGACTACTGATCTAGATATATTTACCTTTACAGAGTTATTACAAGCATGTAAGTGCTGCAATATTTCAGTAACTATTTGCCCTTGAGCACTAGAATCTTCCTTTCTCATTGCTCTATCCACTAGTTTTACTATATTTTTGTAAAAATGTGATATAAAGTGTTTTAAATATTCTTCGTGAGTTTCTGTGTCGAGACCTTCTCTGCCAATCCATTCCACAGTATATCTACAAAAAAAATGTTTGATAATTTAGCTAAAAATTCTAATAGTAGGTACCTACTTTTGAAAGTTGCTTGTTTCAATTTTATTTGGTAATCGCACATCTCGCAAATCACCCAAAAGCTTTGAAGATTCTGTATCCAAGCTTCTATTAATAATATCCACAAAAAGTGACGCTTTCTTCAAATTTTGTAAATTAATATTATTAATCATCCTTATGTAAGCCAGGCAATGATTTTTGGTGTTTTTCACATTTAAAATACCATTGATGACTTCTCGTTCAGTTACTGAAAAATAAGCTTGAAAATTACTATAAAATCGAGGGGTAAATCACTCATGGAAATCACTGTCCACTTTGCTGGGAATACTTTGGGAATACCTAGGAATAGTAGGAATACTTAGAAATACTCTGGAAGTATATGGGAATACTCTGGAAGTCCATGGGAATAATTTGGAAATACTTGAATGTACTTGTAAATTTCTATAACTTCCAACCCCACTTTTAACGTATTTTTGGGCATTTTCATTTAAATCTCAAGTGTTGAGTGCATTTTTGTTCTAATTCAGTGTTCCACTTTGTCCTGGTTAAGTGTTCCAATTTTTTTTGGTCAACTGTTCCAGTTATCCTAATTTTGAGGCAACTGAAACAGTGACCCCTATTTTCTTATGCATTCACATAGAAATAATTCTGAGGCGACTGAAACAGTTTGTAACATGTACTTAAAGATTCTACCAAATTTTATTTTTTTTTGCTCAAGAATTATGGGAAATATGGCAGACAACAAAAGTATCACTTAGTGGTGAGAAAATAAGGTTTAATAAAAATGGTAAAATGAACAAAAAATAAGATAAGAAACCTATTTTCTTCGTAAGTAATCTCTGCATGGTGTTCAGCACAGTTGACAGTTCTTTTTCTACTTCATTCATATATTCCTCCACCACCTTATCCTGTTACCGACAATATACCTACCTTTCCCTCTTGTTCCAAATAGAAAGAGTCTTATTATGGATCCATTGATCAAAATCCAAACTTCTATCACTTGTTGTTATGGGGATACACTTTGTGAAAATATATACATTTTTTTCTCGAAAATAAATCCGGCGGCGTTCTTCCTACCACATGCAGGATATAAATGAGACACACTCGTAACGAATTTTTATACGCGAAAAATTCAAATTTCAATAATAAGCCAAAAACTGGCATATGGTCCAGTTACCTGGTTGTTACAGATAACCAAGTGGACCTTACTTGGAAATACCAGGGAATATGGGAGGGAATACTTGAAAATACTGTACAAATTTGAGAAGTATTCCCAGAAACTGGAAATCACTGTACGTTTTTTCTTGAGTGGTTGACCCCTCGTATAAAATATTCCGAAAAAATTAAATACCAGACATAAAATAGTTGTGCATAGCATCATTGTCCATTTTGCCTTGTTGGTTTAAAGAAGCGGCAGCTTTTCGGAATAATTTTTGGAATTTTCCTAAAGTGTCCCACCATTTAGCTTGATCTTCAGCTTGAAGCTTTGGAATCCTCTATAATAATATAAATTTAAATTTTGTGAAAACTCTACTGCAAAAAAATCTACCTTGTTATTGAAATTGATTAGTATAGAAGATATGGGTTGCAAAACAGAAATGGGTGGCACGGCGTTACTATCTTTTCTATACCAAGTGTCTATAATCACTACATCGTGACCTGTAGCATGTAATTCGTCCCTTATCATTTGAAGTTCTGATGATAAAACATATGTTGGGATAGGGCGATAACCATATTTTTGTCCAAGGAACACCTTCAATTAATCACGAATTTATTGTTGATTTTTTTTTTTTAAACTAACTAAAATCCGAGGGGTGGTTAACTCCTTAAAATATGTACACAGATTTTAAATCTTCATTGATTTTACAGGATTTTAGAAGATTTTAGGTAATTTTGGAGCATTTTAGGGAAGTTAGAAGGGTTTTTAGAGATCCTAAAGGATTTTTATCAATTTCACTGAAATTCTCTTTCAATAGTCAGGAATTTCTGGGAATATTAATGAAACTTCAAGTAATTTCTTGAAAATTCACCGAAATTCCTCCGAAATATATTGAAATTTTATATCATTACATGGGAATTTTTCCAAATTTGATCGAAATTCCAAGTTTTTAGCCCGAAATTTTTCGGAATTCCACTTGTGAAATTTTCTCTAATTTTACTAAAATTCAGTAATTCGATGAGAATTTTCCGGGATGTCAATTTCACTAAGATGCCATGTTTTTAACTGGGAATTCCTTGGAATAAAAATAAAACTTCATGTAATTACATTGGGATTTTTCGGAATTTCACTGGAATTCCTTATGAAACGATGAGAGTTGTTCAAAATTCCACTTAAATTTCATGTAATTCCCTGACAATTCCTTGGAATTCCATGCAGTTGCATCGGAGCTCCATATAATTCGCCGAAAATTCCTCACAAATTATGTAATTTTTTGAAACGTTTTTAAAATTCTTTATGTAATTTGACGAGCACTGAAATCTCATGTTGGGAATTTCGGTGTAATGCAATGCAATTGTTTAGAATTCCTCCATGCAACTCATTCAGGATTACATGTAATCAATCGAAATTTCACTGAAATTTCATGTAATTTTTCGAATTTCCATGTAATTCGAGAGGAACTAAAATTTAATGTGAATTCTATGGAAACTCCGCAAAAATTTCACATGTCACATTTCACACCATTAAATTTAATGAAATTTTTGGAATTTTTTTTTCTTCGGAATTAAAATATAAGATTTCATGGCATTCTAAGGAATTCCACCAAAATTTCAAGTTATTCCATGGGAATTCCGCGAAAATTTCAGTCAATTCCATAGAAATTCCTTAGAATTTCACCAGAAGATTTTATGGAATTTTTCGAAATTCCATTCAAGTGATAAATTTGAAAGGGAAAACGTAAATTCCTAGAAATTTTACTATAATATTTTTCTAAATTTCACCATAAGATTTCATGGAATTCCGCAATAAAATTCAATGGAATTCTTGAACAAAAATTCCTCGGAATTACACTATGAAATTTCATGAAATTCTTCGGAATTCCACTGAAATTTCTTCCATAGGAGTTCCGCGAAATTTTAAAGTAATTCCATGGAAATTCTTTAATATTTCACCAGAAGATTTTATGGAATTCTTAGACAAAATTTTTTCTGAATTACAGTATAGGATTTCATGAAATTCCTCAGAATTCCACTAAAATTTCAAATTGAAAATTTCATAAAAATTCCATAATTTTTTTTCTTTTAACTTTACTGAAATTCCCCAAAATTTCACCACTGAAATTCCCCAAAATTTCACCACTGAAATATCCTGGAATTCCACAAAATTTTCATAAAATTCTTCGGAATTTCATTGACATTTTATGTAATTTCTTAAAAATTCCTCGAAATTTCACTAAAATTTTATGAGAATATTTTGAAATTCCACATTCATAGCCGAAAATTTCTCGAAAGTATAATGAAACTTCAAGGAATTTTTCAAAATTTCATTTATTTTCAAAGAATTTTTCGGAATTTCACTGAAATTCTCTTTTAATAGCCAGGAATTTCTGGGAATATTAATGAAACTTCAAATAATTTCTTGAAAATTCATGTCATTAAGCATATGGGAATTTTTCGGAATATCACCGAAATTCCATGTTTTTAGCTGGAAATTCCTCGGCATTCCACTTATGGAATTTTCTGGAATTTTACTAAAATTCAGTAAGAACTGAAATTTCATGTTGGGAATTTCGCTGTAATTTCATATAGCTAATTGTTTAGAATTCCTCCATGCAATTCATTTAGAATTTTGTGTAATCCGATCGGAATTTCACTGAAATTTCATGTAATTCGAGAGGAAGTAAAATTTATTGTGAATTCTGTGGAAACTCCGCAAAAATTTCACATGTAGGTAATTCCTTTTTCAGAATAACATAATTCTACCGACATTCCTTGAAATTTTAATAAATTATGGAATTCTGAGAGACTTTAACAGATTTTTGGGAATTTCAAAGGAAATATTTTTTTCTACTACCGTGCGTAAAGTACTCACTTTACGCACTATTCAGAAGACGTAAAATTTCACTTCACGCACTAGTGCGTAAAGTAATTCACTTCACACACTAGTGCGTAAAGTAATGACAATGACACATGTCGACACTGTCAATTTAGTATTTTTCTGGTAAATTACTTCACGCACTAGTGCGTAAACTGAAAATGCTTCACGCACTAGTGCGTAAAGTATTTGTCTAAATTAATTTTTTTACACATATTTGATTGGTAGTAGAAAAAATGTTGTATGCAATACGTGCGTAAAGCACCTTTTTTCACTCATGTGATTGTCGCACTCGCTTTAAATTCACATTCGTGAAGAAAGATTCACTTTACACACTTGTTGCATAAATAACTATTTAGGAATTTTATGAGATTTTGCCGGATTTTTAAGGTTTTAATGAAATTTTGTTAGATTTTGTCGGATTTTGTTAAATTTTTAAGGATTTCAAAGATTTTTAGGGATTTTGAGTAAATGAGATTTTCTGGGATTTTGATCGATTTGTACACGGATTTTGACCAGTTAACCACCCCACGCTAAAAAAAAAACGTACCACAAAATTAGGCCCCATTGATAATCTCTGGCAATTTTGAATTTCCTTCATACAAAGCTCTGTGGTCATGTGATCGTCTGTAGCCTCGTCTCTTACGCCCCATCGCATGTCTACTACCTAAAATTTTTTGTATTTTTGAGTGCAAAATGAGATTATTTAAATGTCACGCTATAGGTCTTTGGTACAATAATAATGCAGTTGTAGATTTAAATTCAAAACAATTACTTTAGAGCATGATAAAATTTAGGCACGCGATTGAGGCAATCACCGCGAAAATCATCTTAGTGTCTGCCTAATTAGAGAAAATAATTAACTTGGATGGATTAAACTACGATTTATTTATGTGTTGAAAGCACGTCATCGATTTTCCCTTTGAGTTATTTGCGAAAATTTTGTAGGTCGTGTACCAGCCAGTTCCGCGGCACTATAAGGTCCAAGGGCAAGTTTCGCGTTTTGCCCTGCCAGGTATTTTAATATAAATTTAAAAGGGACATGTTATTGTTGGTCTAGAGCGTTTCGATAATAAATTAGGTTTTGCTTTTGTATTATGAGAATAGAATAATAGATTGGATAATAGATTTTTTTTCTAAAATTGTCTCTATAGCTGAGGTTGTAGATAGATGTGTGAAGCATGTTTTACTTTACTGTGTAGTCTTTTATTAATCAGAAACCAATATTTGCCTAATTGTATCATATTGAAAACTTTGTGTAAGAATCTCAAAAACAATTTTAATTTAATGTGAGCGACTAAAATAAATACGCTTTTCCAATGGAATTCGCAAATTAGATTAGAAATATCTGCCTTGGAGAAAATTAAATCACTGTAACTGGTTGGTGATTTTAGTTCTAAGTGTGTGAACTTTGATCACAAAACAGAACATTGCTTAAAAACAGTTTAAGAACTCGTTGCCCTGATTGGAATTCAGTGAAAATAATTTCAATTGCTTCAACACAAGTATTCAACTGATAATTAGTTTTAATTGATGTAAAACCAAAATCAAGTCCCAACAAAAATACCAAACAACAGCTTTGAATGTTGTAAATCAATAATGTGATTTTATTTTATTTTTTTGAACCAATCAAAATCTCACTTTAGAGTTATATTGAGGTACATTTGAATAATCCAGATAACCAATTACCTGAAACTCCAATCCATGTTTTTCCCTGCAATAATCCTTAATTTTGGGATAACATTTTGCCATCAATGTATTCCTTTCCATTGTGGTATCTAAAATTAGAAAGTATGTGAAGTTATAAGTTTTAAAATGCTATTATGCTTACCTGTAAAAGTAGAACTAGTGAAAATCCTAACAATTTTTGAGCTAACTGGAGGCAGACTCTCCAATGAGCCAGCAAAAATCAAATCTATCGTCCTGTCATCCATTGTATTGTATTTTTCAAAAATTTATGCAGCAACAATAATTGCCATCCTCAACTAATGGAGCTAGAATATGTACTAAGCTCGTCTCTATGCCTAATGGAGGATAGAGCGCGCCAAATTTATCTTAAAATCGATAAAACTGAGCATTGCATTGACGTTGTAACATTTGCAAATTCGTTTCAGAAAAAAAAAATGTGAACTCGTGAACTAGTAGAAAAAAAAAAAGACTCCATCATGCAGGCCCAACCTTCCACCAGCGTGGAGGCGGCGGTTGACCCTCACACCACCCAGATGAACCAGATTATGTCTTATATTAAGACGTTGGCTAATCCAGAGTGTTCTGATGTTCTCAGATTGAAAGCCATTCAAGAAACTAGCAAGAAGTTTGAGGTAAGAACAATTTATTAGCTGAAAACACATCTTCCATGTATTTTTTTTAGACGATTTTAAATTCAGCCAATTACCCAAATTTCCTTAAACTATCTGTGAAAGTATTTTTAAGCGTGCTAGAAGAAGGGGAGCCATATTTTATTTCCGAATATGATATTCAGCAAACTAGGAAGTTGATTTTAGAAATTTTATATAGATTACCTACTAATGACCATCTGAAAAATTATGTTACTCCTATTTTGAATATAATGTTGAAATTATTGGAAATTGATAATGAAGAAAACGTTTTAGTTTGCCTTAAGATTATTATAGAGTTACATAAAATATATAAACCTCCTTTAAGCGAAGGAATCCAAAGGTAAGAATTGTCAATGAAACAATTTTTTTTTTAAAAATGTGACCCTCTCTTAGGTTTTTACAATTCGTCAAATCGATTTATTCAAACTTGCCAAACCATATGCCAAAAATATTTGAACCCAGAAGCCAGATTAAAGTTAAAGATTTAACTGAAGTAAATACGGAAGAATTACTTAAAGAAACTTTTACTATCACTGGAATACAGACCGAAAAAAGAAATAAAGATGGTACTCTAATAGCGGTAAGATTTTTAATGTTTATTTGAAATCACATATTTACAATAATTATTGTTTATAGTACTACCTCATACCTAAAGCAGTATTATCCCTAAAAGTCCTCCAAGAACTTCCAATAATAGTTGTTCTTATGTACCAACTCTATAAACAAGATGTCCATCAAGATGTTAGCGATTTTATACCTCTCATAATGAAAACTATCACCTTACATCCGGCTTTAGAGCAGAGACAAATGGACAATTTTAATAAAGAGATATTTGTCGATTTTATGGGCGCCCAAATCAAGACCCTGAGTTTTTTGGCTTACATCATCAAAAATTATTTGGAGGTGGTCAAAAACCATTCGGAAATGATGGTTCATGGTATGCTAGGCCTTTTAACTTTGTGTCCGATGGAGGTTGCTCATTTAAGAAGGGAACTACTTATTGCTGCGAGGCATATTTTAGCTACGGAATTAAGAAACAGTAAGTTGCTAGGGACAATATTTTTATTTCTATGTTTTAGTTTGGACTTTATTACCTTTGTCAGTTGCCATAGGTGAAAGATTTTAATCTAATCCTTTTGTCATTGAAGAGTTTTTCCAAAACCTCTATTATTTCAAAAATGTAACAACTGTCAAACAAATAACTAATTTTAGAATTTGTACCTCATATGGAACGGCTTTTTGATGAAGACGTCCTTTTGGGACGTGGTTGGACTACTCACGAGTCTCTCAGACCTTTAGCCTATTCCACCCTAGCTGATTTGGTTCATCATATACGTCAGCAATTACCAATGTCTAATTTAACAAGGGCCGTACATTTGTTTAGTAAAAATGTGCACGACGATAGTTTGGCCACTACCATACAGACTATGTCTTGTAAATTGTTGCTGAATTTGGTCGAGTGTATCAGACATAGGTCGGAAAATGAGAATATGTGAGTATTTATATTGTTTTATGTTTTAATTGTTAGTGGCGTTAGTGGCTATATCTGTTGCATCCTTTTAGTAATAATTAAAGACTATATTTTATATTTAAATAGATTATTTGAAACTTGCAAAAAATGACACTCTGTAGACAGACATAAAAACTGATGTCAGTTAAGGTATGTTACCAGCTCCAACATCTTCCTTTCTTGGGAATATTTTTTTTTAGAAACTCAAATTCAAAATGAAACATTACAAACCTTTACATGACATAATCTCTAAACTTAGTTGGTAATTCAACAATACGACCACTGCGCATGACTCTTTCATTAACAATAGAGTCATTCTTTGTGTCTTTCTTAAAATTACTTGAACATTATTTTGGTTTTGGCTGCTGCTAGTTTCAAGTAAATTACTATCAGGATACTGCATATTACTAATAACGTTACCATTACTGTTCATGACATTGAAAGATCTGGGAGCAGAATGATTATCAACAACTTGCCCTTTTTCCCAAAATTTGTTTTTAATTAGTACATTATCACCAGGTTTCAAATTTTGATGAAAATTTGTCGTGTCTTTGTCGTGATTACTTTTATAATATTCATGTTTAGCTACAAGTCGTGTTATGTGCATCTTTAGGAATTGCCGGTCTTAGCAATTCTGTATGAATTGGAAGTTTGGTTCTAATTATGCCGGGGTTACCTAATTCCTTAATTCTTAATTTTTGTTCTTAATTCTTAATCTTTAAAAACACCAATCTTAAATAAATTGAACTTTTTAAGAATTAAGAATTAGGGACAAATATTAAGAATTAAGGAATTGGATAACTCTGGCCTTAGTCTATTCATCAACATTTGGGTTGGAGAAATATCAATACCAGAAACAGGGGTGTTCCCTAAACTCCAGCAGTGCTAGGTGAATATCAATATTCTCATGAGAACATTTTTTAAACATCAGTTTAGCTGTTTGAACTGCCCGTTCGGCTCGACCATTACTGCAAGGATATTTAGGAGAACTAAATAGTACAAAATTTAAAATTCCAATCTTTGGAGAAATTTTTACATTCATAAGATAAAAATGGCATATTATCACGAACAACAGTTTTTGGAATACCAAACGCTGCAAACAAAACTTTAAGATGTCAAATGATGTCAGATGAAATTTTGTTTTTTAAGAAAATTATTTCGAGCTACAGTGCCTCTATACAAGACAGTGGCGACAATAGAGGGACTCATTTTTGATTGGCTATAGAATATCCGCCTTGTTTTGTCGAAATTTATTTGTATTTACCATTTGATCCTATGGAGATTTATGGAATTTTGTGTTTATATATTTTTGTTTTTGTTATTTGTGCCTGTTATTGACTATTTTGTGATAAAAAAATTAGAACAGAAAGAAAAGAAAGAAAAAATACATTATAGAATGAGTTCGACAAAACATGGCGGGTGGGCGGAGCTTAGGCACTATTGTCGCCACTGTCTTGTATAGAGTCACAGTATTTCGAGCCATTTAGAGAAATAATCTTGTACTATGAGATAGCTATTTCCAGAATAATCCATTATGTCATAAGCTACCTTATGAAAAGGTACATTTGGCATCTCATGAGGCATCAACACATTGTTTTGTTTAGAATTTTGGTAACGCTCACAAACATAACAGTTAGATATCATCTTTTGAATGTCGCTTGACATACCCGGCCAAAATACAAGCGCGTTGCTTTGTTTCAACGATTTCAAAATGAGGTTCATGGAGAAGACGTAAAATATAGGACCTAAGTTTATTTGGGACTACTAAGCGATGGTTTACAAATAACAAACCATTTTCAACAGATAGATCTACTTGAAATTTATAAAAATATCTAATAGGAATGTTCACAAAATAAAAAAAATCCGTTTAACCATCATCAAATTATTAAGCATCGTTTCATAAGTAAATCTACAAAATTTCACGAAAATCAGAAAATTCTTTCTATGAGAAAAACGGAGACGAAATATTGATATTCGTTTAAACGCACGAAACGCTGTCTGACGTCACAATGCGTAATGAGTTAGCACGCGCAAGTACAGTGGCGTTACTAGCTACTTGGATCAGCCTCTTATGACGTTGCTTTTGCGATTTTTGTTGGCAATAAAGAATATTGATATTAATATTATTGTTATTATTATTATTATGGTTCGGTTTTAATTTAACGAGAGAGTCTGTTTAACGTTTAACAAGTATTTTGATATTGCTACTGCTATCTCCTTCATGTCGATCTCTGTGTTATAGGGTTTATCGAAATTAAGGTAGAAAAAGTACTATGGCTAAAATGAAGGAAGGTTTTCAAAAGGCCGATTCACATAATCTGCCAACTGTGGACGTTATCTACTATTTTTTTGTTTATTACGTTATCTACGATGGTATCAGAATGTTTGGTCAAGTGTCGACTTGAATCAGCTCCAGTCCATTGGTGTAGAAGTAAAACAGACGTTATTAGATGTAGGTATAGTTGCATTTGAACAATGATATATATTTATTTACCTGTAAAACAAGGGTGGAAAGTTATACTTTCCCGCACGCAACGGCATTTGCACAAACGACGAGCCAGCGGAATTCGTGCAAGCCGCAAGTGCGGAAAACATACTTTATGCTCGTGCCAGGCCCATTTTTTCTATGAGCGTGTGAAAAAGACGTCTTCACGCAACGATTTGCGTGCGGAAAGTAACACATTTTCGCACCTCGTAGAAAAGCACGCACGTAGATACCACTCTTTTTGACTCGGTTCAACTTTGTTTGAGTCTCCCATCATTACACAAACACAGATAATTGGAGTGAATGAAGCTTCTTGGGATAAAGCAACAGTCAGCAACACAATAAATCCAATGTAAACTTGTAAACAAATATCGCCAACGCGCCAGCTGATTTTTCGCTCCGCACAGTGACGTCACAAGCGGTACTCTCGCCGCAGGGGGTCGTTTTGCTAGCCTCGCTAATTTCATTTTTTTTGATTTCGATTTATCAGAAAAAATAAAGGGTTTCTGGATGTTTTAACGCTTAATACGTGTTTTGTGGACCTAAAACCACCACTTTTTATTACATTTGAAAAATAGTGAACATCCCTATTGAACCCTCCATAAGTTCATTATTTTTAGGCCAACCATTCAAAATGTAAACCATTACTTTCGACAAAACTGGATCACTAGCTGTAGCCTGTTTATTCTCAGTTCTTTTTATCATCTGATATATTTAAATTTTTACTCAAAGTATGAACAGTTTCTGAAATCCATGCATCATCATCTTCATTTTCTTGCACATTTAAATAGGACCATGAAAGTAAATCCTCAATGAACATATATTTCACAGGTAAGTAATTTAACGTCAACTTATATTGAAGTAATTTTATTATCATCCTTTGTAAACGTGATGACGCTATTAGAAATTATATTTTTTATTCAACACAGCAGAATGTGCACTTAGCCATTTAAATTCAACTTTAGATTTCAATAATTCGCGTAACGGGGCGGTTAAATCAGCTAAATTTGGTATAAACTGTCTCAGAAAATTTATCATTCCTAAAATACTTTGTAATTCTCTAACATTTTTTAGATATTTTATTCTTTTTATTGCTGCTACTCTATTTACATCAATTAACATTCCATCTGACATGACCAAAATAATTAACAGAGGATTGCTTAAACTGAACTTTTTCCGGATTAACCCAAACTCCATTTGCAATAGCTCTTTTTAAGACAGAATCCAAAATTTGATTATGCTCCTCAGATTGAGCCCGAAAGGCAATCGATAAAATTTATAATAACTACATGCCAGAAACCTTCTTTCAAGTCAAGAACTGTAAAAAAAAAATTTCTTTGAGTTTTTCAACTATATCTTCAAGAGTATGCGTACATATGCAGGCCTTTTAATTTCTAAATTTAAATCTCGTGAATCCAAGCATAATCTTAATGAGCCATCCTTTTTCTCGACAATAACAATAGTATTAACCCAGCCAGAGGGCTTCTCCACTCTTGAAATAATTTTTCTATGTCCTAAACATAATAAGGTTTCCTTTAATTTGTCACGAATGGCAAAAGGTATCCTTCTGGGTGGATTAATAACAGGTATAGCCTCATTATTTACTTGAATTTCACATTTATCTTTGAACTGACCAAGGCCTTCAAATAATTTAGAGTTATTATTGACAAATTCATCCTTAGTATTAAACTTACTCAGATAATCTATATTTTTCTTTTGTAGAGCAACAAGATTCAATTTTGCACAAGATTCAAGTCCCAGTAAAGGTTAAACAGCTTTATCCACAATTATAAAATCAGCAATAAATTCAACATTTTTACACTGCACTTTCAGTAAAACTACTCCTACAGGCTTCACTACATTACCACCAAATGCCTCTAAAATTATTTTTGTATCTCGTAGCTGAGGCTCTGGAACGCCAGCTTCACTCAACATTTTACCTGACAGTACATTTACATCTACACCAGTGTCTAATTTAAATTAAATAGGCATATGATGATCACCAATATTTACATTATGAAACCATGAGTTAATTGACAATACTTTATTACTCTGGTTTTTTATTCCAATAATATTGATTGCGAACTCAGCCTCATCGGACTCCTACTCCTGTTCTTGTAACACTTTTACATTTTTAACATGACATGAAACTGCAAAATGATTTAATTGCTTGCATTTACTACAGTTTTTCCCAAAGGCTGGACATTCATGAACCTCATGCAAAGTTTGGCATCTTCTACATTTGAATTTTTCCCCAGATTTCAAAAATCTTTTATCTGCACTACTAGAATTTGGGGCTTATTTATTATAATTGTTATGGTTTCCTGGCCTTTTCTTAACAAACTCCACTTTAGCAGAGATTCCTTGCAAATTTCTAGCCTCAGATTTAGAAATTTCAGCAGCTCGGCATAAATTTACAGCCTTAGACAAGTCAAGACCTTCCACACGTAGCAACCTTTCCTGTATGGCCTTGCCATGAATTCCCAGGACAATTCAA